TCTAAATTCGCAAAAATCCATAAAATATTCCCATAAAAACAAATCACAATTCGCTTCCACTTCACAGAAACTGACAGACATTGCCAAATATGGAATGACGTTTATTTTTCAATTTATTTTACAGATCTAACTGATCCGGGTCACGTAGAAATTAAATTTTTATTAAATTATTTAATTATAATTGTTTCTGGCGAAAGCAACTTCATATCAATGTTTATTCATAGGGTAACAAAGCACATCACTGTTAAATTATCAGCATTTTATATAAATATTTATATTTTTCAACTACTCCAACTACTCCAATTACTCCACAGAGAATCAAACGAACTGTTAATTAAACTATACTCTGTGGATGACTTGATAAAATCATGATGAAATTAAAGTCCCTAGATGAATATCTAGGGACTTTAGATGAAATTTCTACGCAGCGCCATCTATCCCTCTACTGGCAGAAACTCCGCCGTGTTTCCAAAATTCAAATGGCAGTTTCATCCGCCTGGTTCACATAATCACCAAAGCCCCCTAGTTATATTAAAACATAACTTCAAAAAGAAATGATTATTGAAAAAATTGCAAATTGTTGGTGGCAAGCTCATTTCGCTCATAAAAATTAACCAAGGCATGTATTAACATGATCCAAAGAACAAAATGCTCAGAAAACATGGTTCTGACCGTAAAATTATATTTTAGAAAAATTTACACACGAAATTATTGCACAGGGTGTTTTAATATGCCAAATACTACATTTTATAAAAAACTGAGTTTACGAATAAAAGGTGATATAATTATATACAGCTTGCTAAAAAATTCATAAAAATAGGGCTAAAAATAAAAAATGTAACTCTTTAAATTTTCTGCGTTACGTTTTTTTTTGCATCTGATTACATCAAAACCAATATTTTCTTTGATGAAATGACTCATTATACACTAAAATATACATAAAAACTTTTGGAATAGGAGCTTAAAACGCGAATTGTATATACAAACGTTCTAAAAATGAAATTAAAATTGAAATACCCTAGAGCGGAACTTTTTTGCAATCAGATATTATAACAATAAAAACAGACGTTTTTTGAATGTTCTTATAACAAAAAAATATGTTTTTCTTTGGTTCAAAGCTGTGTTCAAAGTAAACAAACAAATTAATTAATACTGTATATAATGAATACGCCTTCGACATTATTGTTGGAAGGGAAAATTTAATTAATCAATTATAGAAATTACAAAATGATGAAAAGTAACAGATGGAAACGAGCGTTTGAATTTTTGTATTTCTCGAAGTAATTTATTAAAAAGCACATTTAATTTTATTAATAACAGCGTACTCGAAAATGATTTTGGTTTATTTTTAAAAATGTAATTATGTTGTATCTTCGACGGTATTACTAACACTGAGTATATATTTCGAATCTATGAAAACTTGATGATTGTCAGTATTTATACGGACATAAAATATTTTTTTTAATTATAAACATAGAACATTTTTTATTTTAATAAATATGAAAAAAAAATAGGTGCCCGGTGGCGTAGAGGTATAGGCTCTCGTCTACCAATCTCAAGGTAGTGGGTTCGAATCCCACACCCGGCATTTCATCAGCCGACTATTTTTATTAAAATAAAAATAGTCCGGGTACTTAGGTCGACTCAGCCTTAAACGAGTACTTGGGATTCACAATCCTGAGGTAATAATAGGCGGTTGAAGCGTAGTGCTAGCCATATTACCTTCCTTGTATACCGAACGGCTCTAGCATGGCAAGCTGTACCTTGCTACTCCCAAGGCGTTAAACGCTATATACGGGAGCTATTATTATTATTATATATAATAAACATAAAATGCTAAACAAAAAATAAATAGAGAATAAACAAAGAATAGAAAAAATCTTGGTTAGCTATTCAAATATACTTATCCATAGGATTAGATCCATGGGCACTAAGTCAGGCGGCCTCGACGGCCAACGGCTGGGATCTTGGTTAGCTAGTCAATTATTCTTGAAATTGGCTGCAAAAATTTGCTGATAACTTCAGCGTTCAGAGGCGGTGCGTCGTCTTGCTGGAAAAATATGTTTTCGAGTTCCATTAAGGGCATATCATCAATAAGGGGTCCAAAGCCTACTAGTTAAAAGTGGCGAACGTTTAAATATTCTGTATTTTGGAAGGAGATTATAACAAAATATCTAAGTGTGCTATATTTTTGGAAAGGTAATTTTAAATTCTTTTCAGTTAATTAAAACTTTAGAGGGTGTCCCAAATAAAAAATCAATTTTTCTGTTAATACCTCTTAAATTGTTAATTTTGAAAAAATTATACTTGAACCATTAAATTCTACGTTAAAAGGTGCTTTGGAAATGTTTTCACAGATATACAAAATTTTCCATAGCAAAAAAGTTACAGCGATTTGTTAAAAGTTCATATTTTTGAAAAACACCCCGTAACTCCGAAACGGTAACAGATATTGATGTGCGGTTTTCACCATCATGTTTTTGATGAAAGACACCACATTTGAGCTCCAGACACCGATATTAGTTTTTGTCTATCTCCTATAAAAAAGGGTGTTTCCATTTAAAAGCGTCGAATTTGACCCACCCTGTACTTTAAGCATAATTTGTACTGTATGATCGAAAAAGAGCATCAAGTTCTTATTAGTAACGGTCAATAAGATAATTAATATTATTTAACTATAATATTGATTAGTTCAAATGTGAACTTTAAAAACTCATTTTTGGTACTTTAGTTAGTTGCTCTTGGGCATAACATGTAGGTATTCTTTTAGAAATTATTGTGTAATATCACGTACTTGCAAAGTTACACTTAAGTTTAAACAGACAAGGATATTTCATTAGCGGATCGATATCTTGGAGAACTTCTCCACTGATAAAACATGCCCCACGTCTTTTGGCAATTACTCCAAAACAAGTTCTATCTAAATTTGTTTCTGATACAATAATTGTAGAGAACTGCTATAATAATACGCAATAACACTCTTCAGGATAATAACTAACAGAAAGACAACAAAGTTGTACAAAGGTTTGTAACACTTATTTAATTACCTTTAAAGCTCTGTCAAATTAGTCAAATTCAGAAGTATTTAGGACATGTGATATAAGCAGGGCCGTTCCTGGCGAGCGTGCAGTGCGTGCATGCACGTAGGCGCAATATTTTGGGGGCACAAAATCAAAGGGTCAATCAGTACTTTGTAACAAAAAACCGATACGCTTTCTTGCCAATAAACAAATACTTAAACCATCATAGGATAAAGTTTGCTTAGCGTCTTTTTTGCGTTTGCCGCACCGAATAAACAAGTCTAGGGCAATCTGTCGGCAACACATTGATCTCATCTATTTATTTTTCATTTTATTCATTTTATGGAAAGCACTGTTCATTAAAATGTTGTAGCCTATGTTATAGGGCTTGTTTCTCTCTACAATTTCCTGTCTCACAATGTACCCTTTGTGTCCGGGAAGGGATCATAGTTTCATAGTTGTCTATTTTCGAAAGAAATCAGTACATGTATATTATTTCCAAATTTTAGTTTATTGTTTTTATGTATTTCATATAAAATGGGTCAGTTTTTTTGTTTAGGGTACTATTTTTGTTACTAAATATTTGTGGTTTTGTTTGTTTTATTTAATAAATGTTTTTATACTTTAATTAGAATAGTTTTTTTTACATTTCCAATTATATATTGCTCGTTTATCGTAGAATATAAATTCTTTAAATTTTTGAGATTAAGATTAAAATATATAATTGATTTAAATATAAAAAGGGCGCACCAAAAAATGCTGCACGCAGGCGCCAGATACCCCAGGAACGGGCCTGGATATAAGTAATTCAATTCAGAGTATTATTTTCTATCGAATAAAGTAAAAAAACACCGAGGTTGCCATTAAAAAATCAAAAGTTATAGTCATTTCCGGTGAAACCGGAAGTGACCATAAACTATTGAATACGTCCACTCAATCCTAATTTATGTTATATACTATCATATCAAATCTCTTTTTTTATCTGAAAAAATAAAAAAGTTAGAGGGCTGAGCCACTTTTGAGACGCACCCGGTATATAGTTGGTCTATATTTACTTTGCTATAAATATCACAATCTGAAACCATACAAGATGTTCAAAATTCTATGCCAAGCTTTCTAAAATATAAAATAGTTTTTCTTCGTTTTTTAAATGGAATCGCTAAAAATTATAAAAGATTATATATTATATTTATATTATTATTTAGAAAGTTTGACATAAAATTTTAAACACCCTGTATGGTTTAAAATTACGATATTTATAATAAAGTAAGTACTTACGCATTTTTTTTTCACATTTCAAAACAAGTAGAATAATAATAATATAATTATTAGAATATTAAAATTAAATATTGGCTAAAATGAAAAGCACACATTTTACCTAAATATTTTAGTTAAACTAAAATAAATATAAATAAACGTGGATGAAATATCATTTGGTTTATTTCCTTGTGTTCATAATAGGGCTTGCGACGAAGAAGCTACAGAAAGTTCGCTTAAGTTGCCGCTTAAACGTAAACTTGGGCAGATATCTCTTTATACCGGAGTTAGCGTATCGGCAATAAAAAAATTCACACAGAAGATAAAAAAAAAGGCTGGAAACTAACCTCGATAAAATGATATCCAGCCCTGGAAAGAAACGACCACGTGAGACTGCTGTTGAAAAGCGCGACGACTTTGATTTCCAAGTGGTCAGGAATTTGATAAATAGATTTTATCCTAACCTAAGTGTAAAGAAATAATTTAAAACCTCTTTCAAAACCCTAGAATTTTCTCCTTGTATCAGATCAGTTTTTTTTCTAAATAAATTGTGTATGTAACCTGATGTAATACGTAATAAATATTTATTAATATAAACAAATAATTAATAAAAAATTACTATAAAATAAGAAAGAGCATTGTAAAGGTATGAAAAGAAATATAAAAAATATACTTTGCGATAGGGGATAAATCTAATACGTCTTCTAAGAGGTTATATCTTACCTCTAGTTTTTGTTCCTCCCAATGGCTCTCTGATAACAATGTCCAAACCGTCTTCCCTTCTCCACTGGACGTGAGGTTCTGGATGTCCCCGGGCTCGACATGTTAATTTCACCGTTCCTCCTTCCTGGACTAACACGTCTCCAGAGGTTTCTTCTGTAAAATCTGGAGGAACGGAGACATCAAGTAAACCTACCTGAAAATATTTATAGAAAAAATATATAAATATATAAAAAGAAATAATTATTAAAGCTAGATGTAATTTTAATAACGTCCAGTATTTTGTAAAGTTTTTGAACAATATGTATAAACATATACAGGGTGAGTTTCCTACGATGTTCTCTATGGGTATCTCGGAAACTAGTGGAGATAGAGAGTCGGTTAAACGGCGAAAGAATTGCAGTTTTGTGGGGTCATAAATATGCGCCTTTCAGATTTTTGAAAAAGTTCATGGCTTACTAGATATTTCGAAAAAAACAAATTTCGGCTATTTTAAAAATTGACCGTAATTCCATTATAAGCTATTTTAGACAAAAAGTTTTCAGATAAAAGTTGTAGATAATCACATCTTTAATGAGACTGTGTCCTCCGTTTTTTTCTAAAGCCTGTCATTTTTGACATACCTATGACACAAACATAGGTTTTTTTAAAATGGAAACCATAGTTAGTCACAAAACATTAGTTAGTCATGGAAACAAGTTCAATCGCCGTTGCTCTCAGAAATGTGAAGCTGTCACATCCAAACTTTGTAAATTAAAATAAACAAAAATTGTAAATATGAATTTTTCAAATGAAGAAAAGCGTGTAGGACTATTGGTTGAACTTTTCTTGGCCATACATTTTCGAGGATACGTTAACTAAGTGAAATTGTTTAAAAATGATAAGAATTGGCTATAACTCAGTAATTTTTCGAAGAAAAGATATTATAGCTTACATCACTAAAAAGCTTAAAAAATGGCGCTTTTTATGAAGTCATGGCCAACTATGGTTTACATTTAAAAAACATATGTTTGTGTCATATGTCAAAAATGACAGGCTTTAGAAAAAAACGGAGGACACAGTCTCATTAAAGATGTGATTATCTACAACTTTTATCTGAAAACTTTTTGTCTAAAATAGCTTATAATGGAATTACGGACAATTTTTAAAATAGCCGAAATTTGTTTTTTTCGAAATATCTAGTAAGCCATGAACTTTTTCAAAAATCTGAAAGGCGCATATTTATGACCCCACAAAACTGCAATTCTTTCCCCATTTAACCGACTCTCTATCTCCAGTAGTTTCCGAGATACCCATAGAGAACATCGTGTATCGTATAGAGGAAACTCACCATGTATAGTATACAGGGTGTCCCAGGCTAAGCGTGCCTTAAAAGTTTCTAGAGAACTACAATATCTAGATCGGATGTTTTTTGTACATCACTGTTTCGCAATGAGATCTATCGAATAAAAGTATTTTCTATATGGCGGCACTTCCGTAAATGCCTTGACAGCAACTTCCTTATTTTAAATGGTTACCGCCATTTTTTATTACATACTTAAATTCTCTGTAAAATTTTATGAATTTTGATATCAAACACTCTATACCTAACATTAACCGTTTTTGAGAAAAAAAAATATTTAAAATTTTTGGGGGAAAAATGGGACCGTTTGTCAAAAATGGCCTAACCGTCAAATTTAGTGATTACCACAGCCACTGGGACATAAAGAGAAGCCATGTGACTCTATTTTGAAAAATTAAATTGTTTGAATGTTACATAATACGAGCCCTAACAACTAAATGTTCGAACAAACAAAAATTTATTAAAAACCTTTATTTTCATTAACTGAATTATTTACATTTAAGAAATACATTAAAAATATATTAAAATCTAACATTTCTAATGAGTATTTAAATAGTTTAGTTGCTATAAACATTAAAATAAACCGTAGGCCAATAAATAAACAAAAATATTGCACAATATCGTGACAACTAAATGTTTTTTTAACTGTTCTAATATGGCGTTACTTCGGCATGAACTTTTGCAACTGCATGTCTGTTTGCATGTCTGTTTGGCATTGTTTTTATTAGTGATTGACATACGCCAGAGTAAAAATTTTGCCATAATTCACTTAATATCATCGTCAAATGGGAAACGGTTTCTTGGGGATCGTAGCACAATTTTTGTTTTGTTTTATGCCACCTGTCTCGATAACATTAAGGTCCGCGGACTGTGCGAAGGCCATGAGGGGACCTTGATGTTCATGTCCCTAAACCATTTTTTAGTAGATGCCCCGCCATCCTGTTGAAATATAAAATTCATATCCTGGTAAAGGTCTCTCGCACTTAGCACAAAAACATTACACGATCAAATCTATTTTTCCAAGGCTCCTTGATTAAATGATAGTGTTTTTAACACAGCGATGGCATTTTAGAATGAAATTTAAAATACGATTTTTAAGCGAAAATGTCAAAAGTTGACAAATGCACTGAAAAAAATATTGTTCATAATATTAATGAACATTGATTATTAACTGTTCTTTCATTGGGACAATGATTTTTTTCATTATATTAATGATTTGTTAATCATAGATCGATGCCTCATTTATTAATAGTATAAATCTAATTTCATCAATATAATGAAAATCTGGTTATTAAATTAATGTAAGATTTTCATTAATATATGTTATTAATATCAGGAAAAAAATATTAGTACTTAAATGGTGGCCATCTTGATCGGTTACTTTGGCACTTTAATAACGTCTGTGTGGTTGAGTTATTCAGTGAGGCTTTAGTTTCATTAGAGCGGTAAGTGTTCTCTTCAATATTTTAAATATTTTAAATAAAAGTCCTATCGTATTGTAGTTAATTTGCTGTGTTGTCAAATCAAATTCCGCTGTGTGAGATCTCTGGTGTGGGTATTCATTAAAACAGCTGTTTCCAAATATGTTTCAGAAGATAAAAAACAAAAAGAAAAAAAAAACATAGTAACAAGTCGAGGCATGGAACTGATTATGGTAAATTCGAATGTTCTTTTAATATTTGGCATTTTAATTATTTTGATATACGTCTTTTAGAACCGGAAGAGGATGTTGAGACCTGCCTTCAAGCCCTCAAATTCGACAATTTAACAATGGACCCACTTGATGCGACTTGGAAAGCCTGTTGCAAATTCGTCTAGACGTTATCAAGTCTAAGGATACAGCTAATATAATGAAGAAATTGTCTTTTTATAAAAAAAAATCATTGTATTAATGATACGGTTCATTAATATAAGGATTTAGGTACGTTATATTAATGAAATCTGTTCATTGTACCAATGAATGTGTTCATCAAATTAATGGACACTGTTCATTGATTTAATGAACTTAAAGTTCATAGAGTTAATGAATTACTATTCATTGTGCCAATGAAATCGTTCATCGGCTCAAAATTAATGATTTAATTCATTATATTAATGAACTTTTTCATCATCATTCTATTCAGAGTGTCATTTTCTATCGAATAAAGTCAAAATATACCGAGTGTGTCATTTATAAATCTAAAATTGAAGGAATTTCCGGATATACCAAATCGCTCTAAAAACTAACTCGTTTTTTATGAAAAGATAAAAAAAGTTATAGAGATGAGAGGCACCCGGTATTGAGAATATTTTTCTGAATATATTTTTACTGTTCAATATCTTATATTGAATCAATTTCTTGCTTCAAAATTATATGCAACAGTCGAAAAAATACTGTACGTAATAAATAATTAAAACAATAATTAAATCAATAAAAAAATCAGTTTAAAAATAATAATATAAATATTAAGACTGAATAATAAAAATTTCGATGAAGACACTACATAAATCCCTTTCAATACGAAACCATCGAAAAATTTTATATATGATATGGTATGTGATAATTTTTGTAATCTTGTAGTCATTTTTAATTAATTATTTTAATAAAAAAAACAAGCACATTAATTATATACTCACTAAATTTTGATAAACTTTTTTATTTCCCAAAGTTCCTTACAGCGACATCCAACGTATCCCCGGAATAATAATTATCTTTGAGTAAACAATTTCAAATTTATCTTGAAATAAGTTTCTAACAAAAAACAAACGTTCTGCCCGAAGTCTGAGAGAATCGTCACCTGTGCAAAACGAAAATTTATTTTATATTTCGCGGATTGCGTCTAATTTTGGGCTCCAGATTTGTTATTGCTATAGAGTCGCCAGTCGAGAAAATTTGCAGTGCCTGTTTGAATAACAAAGACAAGAGTTATGGCCAGAAAAAATATTATTCATATAATTATTATTCAAGTATATTTAATGAAAAAGTGAAAAAGATAATCCATTCGTATACGCCACTGTTTTATGACAAAATTGAAGAAACTAAACTAAAACTAGTATTAGTGAACCCAAATCGACATTTGATTTCGGAAAATCGACTATACATAATATATCATATTTTACGCAAAATTGTAAAATTTCCAGGGATTTTGTGCTTAAACGGTTGACTTTAGCGAAAATTCTCATAAACCCTTTTTTATAGGAAATTTTATTCTCTTTAATTTTGCTCTCTTCAAATTTTCGCGAAAAAACGGATAGTTTTCGAGATATTCACAAAATACCGATTTTGGGCGCCATCTTGGCAAGATGGCGGCGCCGGCGGCAAGTCTGCTAGTGTGCATTTTATGGATTTTAGTTAGGGACCCCAAAACCTATAAACCTGTAAAGTTGCATAACTTCTGGACTTTTTTCGAAGCAAAATCCCCAATGACTGAACTATAACGTGGGTCTAAAAATGAACTTTTTTACCGTTAACCGAATTTAAACAGTTTTTTATAATGTATAATACATTAATGTATAATATAATACAAAAATTTATTAATTAATATTTATTAATCCGGATTAACCCTTCCTTTAATTGAGCCAATTACAATAATGAATGTCTGCACTATCTCTACAGTTCTCTATTGTACCTACATTTCTAACCTTCACTCTGAACATATACAGGGTCCGGCAATAGTTGCAACCAAATCAAGCTCTTAGAATAAAAAACTTGGAAATTTTGTTTAAGTGCTAACCTAAAGTATGTACTAGAACGTATTTCAGGAAAATATTTTAACTTCTACACGGTGGCTCAAAATAGTGTGAGTGGATCGGGACGATTTTTTTTAAATGAAACACCCTGTAAATTATTACTTTTAGGGCTTCCTTTCAGATCA